CGAACCCCATCGACCATGTTAAAATGTGCCAACTAGTCTAGGTAAATTTATATTGCATGCACTATGTTGACATAAGATGGTGATTGGATGTAGTTAACCGGAAACTTTGGACCTAGGTTTCGTGCTTTTTAGTACTCGTTAGCAAGGTGTACCTGTAATCTTGAGAGAACTGATGCTATGCACTGGTTAAAACACTATTTGACAGGGTAGAAAAGATACGTACCACCGACAAACTGGAAGAAGAATTAATGAACCTAGAAAAATGTCTAAGAAACAACTTCTATCCACAAAAGTTTATTGACAAATATAAAAAGCCCAAAGAAAACAAGACGGAAATAATTACAGTCAATAAAAAGCCAGTATCTATCAATCTTAACTTTAAAGGTGATAACGTCGCACAAATAATCGGTAGGAGACTGAATATTGCGCTTGCCAGAACTTATCCGGCTGCCAAACTTTTAATTGTCTATAAAATAACATGTTCAATAACTCAATCAAAGGTCGACAAGCACTCCTTTCATGTTACCGCCAACTGTATTTATAAATTTACGTGTACCTGCCAAAGCAGCTACATTGGCCGAACAGAAAAGAGAGCATACCCTAGTTATTTTGAACATGTTCCGAAAAGTCTTAGAACAAGGGAAAGAAGGACTCTGAATAGTGCAATCACCAAACATCTCCTTGATACAGGACATCAGGTAGATACCTTACAATCCTTCAAGGTGATTAGTAAGCAGCCAAACTCCAGTCTTCTGAAGTTTGCTGAAGCCGTCGACATCAGGCGTCAAAAACCTGACCTATGTGTTCAAAAGGAGATGGTTGTTAATCTTTCTTTGCCTTGGTGACTAATATTCCTTCGCTGCACCACAAATTATTTTGTTTTGTTTTTTGTACTTATTACATCATTGATTTTCATTATTTTTGTTTCTTCAACTACGTTTCAAATTAATAATCTTTTAACTGAACTCTACTCACTATATTCCTATCAAAAATTTTACTCATTATGTAATCAATTGTTTCTAACTCCTCCCCCTTTTTGAACAGTTGTCACAATTAATGATGTAGAATATTCTTTCATCACATAAGGTATGTATATTTACAATACTCAGTCTACTGGTTGAAATCATGAATCCATTGAAGCTAGACCACCATGGAAAACCTGGAAGCACAGGACGGCCGCTTCGTCCTAGTATGGGACTCCTAAGCAGTGCGCATCCACGATCCCGCTCCTCGCCAGATTCGAACCCTGGACCTATCAGTCTCGCGCCAGGAGCTTAACCAACCAGACCACTGAGACGGCATCCAACGGTGTTAATGTCTAACTTCAACCAGTCTATTAATTTCATTTACACTCTTGCATACTATACGAATATATCTTCAATATATAACTTCTAACAAAACCCTCTCATGTAAGTCATTTAAACTCATTATCTAATTATGATTTATAAATATCACAAGTTGTAAGCAGCTGATGAGAACTGGGACGAAACAAAATGAATTCATGCTATTCTGTCAGAATCTTTGTTCTTGCTCTTTTCAAAATGATAAAGGGAACTATGTGTATGATCCTAATAATATTTGTCACATGAAGGATTCTTTAAGTGACTCATGACGTTGTATATAAGTAAATGATTCTTTCCTAATAAGAAAGTTCAAAGACTAGAATTACATTTCAGTAATTATAGTTTCATTATTGAAAAATTTACTTTTAAAAGTTATGTGGTTTATATAAAACATTACGAAAAGAGATCTATACTAATATATATGTACTGAAGTCTATTATGCAGTAAACCATCAAGATTTCTCCTTGAATATAGAATAAGAAATTCACTTAGCAATGTAATATTTATTAAACATTCAACAGAACATCATTATCCATTTCCATATAAAATCAATTAAAGGATCTATTTAGAAAAGGAACATTATATTATGCAGTTTAAAAGACTTCCTAGAAAGTTGGTTTTATATTCTTAAGGGAAGTGACTGTCTCGGTAAAGTTCCAAATCATGTCATCTAGTTTCATAGTAGTATTTTCTAAGTGAATTTAAACATCTACTCCCAGATACATAACACTATGATAAATCAGTTTTGAAAACTTCTTGAATGTCAAGATTTGAATGATACTTTGAAATACCTTTTACTTTATGTTGATGAGTTAAATAATAGCGGGAATGAATTCCATGATTTCAGAAAAAAAAATGTTTTGTTCCATAGTTACATCAGGTAAAATGAAGGAATGATGATATTAGTTTAGAATTGTTGAATACTAGTCTAGTAATTTACTATTCATGTTTCCTTTTTTTAAATTCACTAATTATATGGACATAATGTAAGAAATTATCTGTGAATTTCTTCTTAACATTAACTTGCAACAAGCATGTTTCGTTGAAGATAATCAAATTAACTAGCATCCATTCACACGATGTATTATATATATGTTTGGATACTCATAATGGTCTGTCTTTTGTTTGAGGTTAATTAGTAACACTGTTGGATGTCAACTTAGTAGTCTAGAGGCTGTGTTCACTTGAAACCGATGGTCCTGGGTTCGAATCCCACGTGGATTCGTATTGCTAATGATACCAATACTAGGACAAAGCGACGTTCCAGTACGTCTAGATTCTCAATAGTGGTCTAAAATTGATCGATCCATGATCATAATAAAACCATCAAAGTTAATTATTATTAAATAAAATAACCGTTAACGAGATGATCGAGCACTCCTTATTGCACCCATATTAGTTTACATTTAAAAATGAATGAGAAATGCATGAAAATCGAACTTCAGAGTTACATGAGCACGATTCATGGATAGTGTGAAATAGGCATTCACTAGGCTTCACAGTTGATTGATCACTGGGTGACCAATGTCATAAGTGTCTAGTCCTTATTATTAGTGCAGATCGAATACTATCGACCATGTTGCAATGTAGCCACCAGTCTAGGTGACTCGACACTGCGGGCACTGTTGTAAGATTAGATGGTGGTTGGAGGTAGTTGACAGGAAACCCTGGACCTAGGTTTCGTGCTACATGGCTGGCAATCGTCAGCAAGGTGTAACTGTAATCTTTGAGCGAACTGGTGCTCCCTGGCGAATTCGATACCGTGTCACCCAGCTCCAACCACCATCAATTCACTACGCTTCATCGCTAATAAATGTTGGGTTCACGTTAAATAAATTACTCAACACATCTGATATGCTCACTTTGTCCCCAACTGGTGCAAATACTAATACAAATATCATAAAATGTATTCATTTTCACTGTTCATTTGATTCACTCTTTGATCATATTTCATCCTGATTGTTGTTGTGCTTCCCTAGTATTGATCGAATAATGTAAATTAGTTATAAAGACTAACTCCGCCTGAAGTCCCTCCGCGGGCTACTGCCGGTCCCAAGCCCAGATAAAGTAGGAGGGTTGGGCATGGGGTTAGCGACCCCATCCCGTAAAAAACTAACTCGCTAAAAAACGCTAAAACGCTAACCAGTTATAAAGACTTGAGATGATTCCCGACAGTTTGGATGGAAATGTTTATTCTAGATTATAAAAGTCACGACGAACTCATAAGAATTTCATTTTGTCTGATACAATAATAAGGACATTTATTGAGACATAGTGATAAGGGTTTCAACCTCATAAGGAACATCAATTCCCTAAAGATCTTAGAAATGTCTTACCGATAAATTGCAACTATCTTGATTCTCAGACAAATGGTTTATTTCAAAGTGACTCCAGCGGCTCAACAACACACAGTACAAAATTATACTGCCTTTTGTAGTTTAATGGATTCTCTTCAATCTAATGAGCAGACGTTTTTCATCAAGAATGCTTACTAGTATTTAACGATCAGTTTTTGTAAAGAGCTTTAACGATGAAAGTTTCATTTTTAATTTTTAACATTCTCTTCTAGTACTGTGTGCTGTATACTACTTATGACGATATAAGTAGTATATAACATGAAACAGAAGTGAAACATCTGACAGCAGAAGGTTAGATAGATTGAACCGAAGAGTACGGTAACAGTGACCAATTATTATGACAATGGAGGAATGACAAATTTTCGAAAAGTGGAACTTCTGATACCAATCAGCATATTCTTACTAGTGACTGGCTTCTAGATGTATATCCTGGAGTTCTAATGAGAAACAGTGACCAATGGAGTTCAACTGAATCTTTTGTGAGATAGTAATCCACTGAAGACAATGATTGATGTGTCACTCAATTCCGTAGATTAGTTGAAATTAGACATTAACACCGTTGAATGACGACCAGGTTAGTGATCTAGAGATTAAGCGTTCACGCGTGAGACCGATAAGTCCTGTGTCTTGGATCTCGCGAGACAGAATCGTGAATGCGCACTGCTGAGGAGTCTCACAGTAGGATAAAACGGCTTTTTAGTGCTTCCCAGTTTTCCATGATGTCCTATCTTCAATTGACTCATAATCTGAAGCATTAAACTTAATATTCATGATATTATCATGAATGCTCGATGAAAAAAGAAACCCATAAATGTATAATGAATTTATTAGTAAATAGCATACATGTGTCAATTGCTTAAATCATAATAGTGAATAACATTTTATTAAAAGAAACAAGTAAATTAATTAAAATAATTAAGGAATGACCAACTTATATAAGTTGAATATGAACAAAATGCAAATCATGTAAATAAATGTTAATATATGAAAGAAATTGTATTCGTTCTCCCCCTCCCTCCCATTTCAGCACCACCGCCACCACCACCACCACCACCATCACCAAAGAAAAAAGACTTTCACTTTCCCATAGAAACAAATTATTGATAATTTTTTTTTCTATTTTTTTTTATTCATAAACTTTTGTTGTTTATCTGACATTTTCTTATGTAATATACTTGATGTTGTATCATATGTTCCACCCACTAATAATCTATCTACTTGTCTACATGTTTGTGTAAGTTTATATAATGGATGTATATTATTACTATTAGCAGTAGTATTATTAGTAGTATTAGTAGTATTAGTAGGTAGTAGTAGTAGTGGTAGTAATAATACTGATATTACTATTTATAGAATCTTTCTCTTTTAATAAAGGATAATGATTTGACCAATCTATATAGGACTTAGTTGGTAACATTGAATTCGATTTTTGTATAACTGAAATAAGTGAATCTTTAAATGATGATGGATAGAATTCATTTGTTAATTGTATAGATTCAGATCTTTTAAATGTTTCATAAAATTCTTTAGAATAATTTAATTCATCTTGTGAATTGTATGATAATGGTGAAGTGGAAGATGGATGTAAATAATCAATTTCTCTAGGTCTATTCATGATATCATTAGTATTGATTATTTCATGTTGATCAATAATATGATAAGGATCAATGAATTTGTGAAGTTTCTCTTGATTATCTAATAAAGTAGTAGTTGAATATAATTTTGAATGATACATTGAATGATCCATTGATGTATGTTGAATATTTGAGGATAAAGTTAGATTATTATGTTCAATATTGTTTGTATTTATTATTATTGTTGATGATGATGATGATGATGATGAGGAGGAGGAGGAGGAGGAAGAGGAGAAGGATGAGGATGATGTGGTTGTTATTGTTGTTGTTGTTGTATCCGGTTGAATAACACGTTCAGTTTTACGAAATTTTGCACGTCTATTTTGAAACCAAACCTTGAAGGGAAAAACAACCATGGAAATAAAGTATTGAAAGATCTTAGAAAAAAGTGTTTTCTATTTACTTCTACTTACTTACTTACGCCTGTTACTCCTCGTGAAGGAGCATAGCCCGCTCACCAGCATTCTCCACCCAACCCTGTCCCAACCAATCCTTTCAAGTTCTTTCCAGTTCTCATTCATCTTTTTCATATCTGCTCCTATTTCCCGACGTAATGTGTTCTTTCACCTTCCTCTTTTCCGCTTCCCTTCAGGATTCCAAGTTAGCGCTTGTCTCGTAATGCAGTTTGATGATTTCCTCAATGTATGTCCTATCCATTTCCATCGTCTTTTTCTAATTTCCTCTTCAGCTAGAAGCTGGTTGGTTCTCTCCCACAAAAGGCTGTTGCTGATGGTATCCGGCCAATGGATGTTGAGTATCTTGCGTAGACAGCTATTAATAAATACCTGTACCTTCTTGATGGTGGTTGTTGTAGTTCTCCAAGTTTGGGCTCCGTACAGTAGAACTGACTGCCTTGACGTTTGTATTGAAGATTCTGACTTTGATATTGGTTGAAAGTTGTTTTGAGTTCCATATGTTCTTCAGTTGAAGGAATGCCGCTCTAGCTTTGCCAATCCTCGCCTTGACGTCTGCATCTGAACCTCCTTGTTTATCGACGATGCTTCCCAGGTATGTGAAGGATTCCACGTCTTCCAGAGTTTCGCCATCAAGAGTGATTGGATTGCTGTTCTCCGTGTTGTGTTTGAGGACCTTGGTTTTGCCCTTGTGTATGTTGATGCCTACTGATGCAGAGACTGCTGCTATGCTGGGTTTTCTATTTAGTTACTACATATATCAATTTAATCCACAATGCATTATATATGTTCTCACAATTGATTGATCACTGTATGGTGGGTGATCAATATCATCTATGTCAGATTCTTTTTAGTGTAGATGGAATCCTATCAATCAAGTTGCAATATGGCCACTAGTCTATGTAACTCAACATTGCATGCACTATGTTGAGATAAGATGGTGATTGGATGTAGTTAACAGGAAACCTTAGACCTAGATTTCATGCTACTTAGCACTCATCAGCAAATGAACCTGTAATCTTGAGGGACCTATGCATATCGCCTTGATATTGCCTTAATTCAAAAGTATTCTATGCAAAGATGGATGCTAGAACGAAACATACATCCTGAATTCCATTGCTAGCCACTATCTATCTTTGCTTAGAATGTAAACAACCATATTTCAATTGTCTAAATTTCCATATAAACCGGAACTCTAATTTTATCGATTCATTTTCATTAAATAGTTAAAAAGTATAACTTCTATAAAGAAAAATTCATTGTGGTTTGAAAACATAGAGTATTTATATAATTGAAATGAATATTTCAGTATGTGACGAATAGGTTGGGCAATAATTAGTCAGAACAAACGAAGTTGGTTTGGTCAACTTGAGCCCTAGAGATCAGATATCTTTCATACGAAATAACAAAACTCAAATATAAGTAATGAACAAATTTCATTCTATTCTAATGTACTATATGTTTCAAGCCTTCAAATGTTTTCTTTAATAAAGAGAAGTGTAAGGATTCAACTATAATAATTGTAGTACATAATGATTCTTCATTAATAGTTGAAATCATGAATCAATTGAAGCTAGACCACCATGGAAAACCTGAAAGCACTGAACGGCCGTTTCGTCCTAGTATGAGACTCCTCAACAGTACGCATCCACGATTCCGCCCCCCCCCCGCAAGATTCGAAAGGCTCAGTGGTCTAGTTGGTTAAGCACCTGGCGCGAAACTGATAGGTCCTGGGTTCGAATCCCGCTGGGGGGGCAAGATCGTGGGTTCGCACTGCTGAGGAGTTTCATACTAAGATGAAACAATTGTCCAATGCTTCCAGATTTTTCATAGTGATCTAACTTCAACGAACTCATGATCTTAACTATTGAAATTACTACAATTTCCACAATACCAATTCTGATAAATATCTACTGTTAAAAATGATAATTTATTTCAGTTTACTACTGAATAACTACTGAATAACAATATATATATATATATATCTATATATCTATATATTGAAGAAGTACAATTTACCTGAACTCTAGCTTCAGTAAGATCAATTCTTAATGCTAAATCTTCTCTTGTATAAATATCTGGATAATGTGTTTCTTGAAATGCTTTTTCTAGTTCTTTCAATTGATAACTAGTAAATGTTGTACGAATTCTACGTTGTTTACGTTTTTCATGTAAATTTGTTATACTTAAACATGATGATGATGAATTAGAAAAATTTGATAATAGTGGACTTGTAATAATAGGATTAATTAATGAATGATTATTAGTAGTATGATTAGTAGTATTAGTAGTAGTAATAGTAGTAGTATTATCATTATTATCATTATTATATACTCTATTAGCTTTATTATTGAAACTATCATTATGACAATGATTGATAATTGATTCATCATGATATAGATTTGATTCATTTGGATTGATTATGGTTGTATTATAATAGGATTGAGTATGATTATGATTATTATTAGTAGTTGTATTAGATGGTTGATTCAATGGAAATAATGTTGAAGATTTTGTATGATCATGATTCATTATTGATCCATTATCTGAAGATGGTGAAGAAGATGGGAATTCATCTGGATAAGTTTTGTATTGACAATGATCTAGAAAGATTTAATATGAATTATATGATATTAATGTTTATACTATACTGATATTACATAAATCATTCAGTCATTAAAAATGTGGAACTTCGTACGTACATACATCAGTTCGAGTTGCCATACCACATCAGCACAGAGATTCAGTTATCGATTTAAATCCCGTAGTGAAAGTATAAGTAGTAATAGGGAACATTAAACTTTGATGATGTTATTTAAGGAGTATAGTCCAGTGGAATAAATTGGGAAAGAAAATAAAGGACATGAAGAATTCAGAAGATTAGAGTTTGAGAGAACACAAAGAGTGGATGCACCTGCTCCATTGCAAACGATTTTGAGCCATGTCATTCAAGGTTTCTAACCATCGATTGCTATCGTCTCGCGGATCCCAACCAGGTAGTTTACACCTACCAATATGGCTCAGTTCACTTTTCAGTGACTTCATAGATTTGTGCCATGTGTTGGTTTGGCCACCCCTAGCTTTTTTCCAACCTACTCATACACAACAAAACATCGCATGTCGGGGCAGTCGGTGGTTGGGTTCTGCATACGTAACACGTGTCCCAGTCATCTTAACTGATGAAGTTTCATTACTGCATCGATTGATTTGCCATCCTTACCTAGTACCCGTTTATTAACAACTGAGTTAATTACTCGGTGGTCTCAGATATTACATTAATGGAAATGATCAATTCGATAAATGAAATACTATAGTTGTTGTGGATGTTAAATCCCCAGAACTCATTTGGAAAAGGTTCTCATTTTGTAATTTTATTCTGAAAATTTGAATTTTATGTTTTCAAACCAAGAGATGCTTAGTTGACCTATAACTTACATTTCCCATTTAAAAATCCTTGACTGTCATTGGTTGATAGATTTTTTTTAGTAGGCTATTTTATGACTCTCTCAAGGGCGTTTCTATCATTGTATAAATAAGCTTGATTTGTGTGCTTAGTGACCTCTTGTTTTCTAGGTGCTTGTAGAATATATTCTGTACAACTCATCAAGACTTCTTGATCTAGTTATCAGGGCTGAGGACAACGGATTAGAATAGCCTATCGTGTAACTGTATCTTTGACTTTTTGTTCGGTTTACCGAGTAAGGTGAACTCATAATAGCATTCAAGTATATGAATAGTACTAGACTACATTTCAGAAACCAGTTTTATATTTAACTATTGATCAAGATGTCTGTATGGTAACTAGTTTTAATCACTGAGAACTGTGTGTTAATGTCAATGAATTTGAGGTAGATAAGGAGAAGCTCTATACCTAGATTGTATGCTAATTGTTTGTCATTAGTAAAATATATTTGTCATTTCAATTCACCGGTTAATAAGGCATTGACATCGAATATATGATACATATCAAAACTTTATTTTTTCAAACATTTCAAAGGTCTTTCTCAAAATAAACTGATACCATGTGATTCATAAATAAAAGCTGTAACTAGAACATAATAGTTTGTACCTTTAGTTACACCATGTATATTACATATATATATATATATATATATATATATATATATATATATATATATGATGCTGTTAACAAGGCAACGTAGTGAATGTGAAGAAGTCTTTCAATATTTTCCAGCTTTACTCAGGTTACTACACATAAAGCTATATATGTAAAGATTTTAACAATTGAAATCAAACAGTTCTAATGCCATAGCAACAAGCAACTTCGATAAGTTTGAAGATTGAATCTTAAACCATAAGATCTTTTGATGAATATGATCAGAAGCCAAAATTCATCGTATCTTAGTTAAAAACAACTATTACTCACTTGAAGAGACTGATATTCATTTACCTTACACGAATAATTTACTTTAGGAGTTAGGTTACGTAATTACTGATAAAACTTGTAAACATGAGTGACGAAACATGATAGGTACAGTTTTATTTCAATAGTTGAAATCATGAATCAATTGAAGCTAGACCACCATGGAAAACCTGGAAGCACTGGACGGCCGCTTCGTCCTAGTATGGGACTCCTCAGCAGTGCGTATCCACGATCCCGCACCCCGCGGGATTCGAACCCAGGACCTATCAGTCTCGCGCCAGGCGCTTAACCAACTAGACCACTGAGCCGGCATCCAACGGTGTTAATGTCTAACTTCAACTAATCCACGAAGTTGCGCCACCGTCACCATTGTCTTCAGTGAGCTGATATCTCACTTTAAATCAGTGTTATTGATTAAAACAATCAAAAATCATAACAAAACCTTCTAAAGAATGTACTATAAAACGAAACAGCTAACCAATTATGTTTGTCAAATATTCCTTTTTTATTTTTTCAGTCAACTAATCTATACATATGTAAGTATGAACCGCTTTTTTTAATCGAATCATGCAGTTAATGTATAAACTATCTGAAGTTTATGCTAATGATATCGTTCAGAAGAACGATGAAAGCTCTACGACTAAACCATCCAGCTCACAGAACAAAACTTCATCAAAATTATTTATACCCTATAATATAGTCATGATTGGCTATCAGGACTCAAGTAGTTAAGTGGATAACACCAACGGTGTTTGAAATCAACGGTACTGGATTCGAGTTTCAAAGTGAACATCAAGTCTGAAAGGCAGATAAATTCAATTGACACGTCCCAAATAGGACGAAACACGTATACTGAATTCCACTGCTAGCCATCATCCATCTTTCCTCATAATACTTGTGACTCAAGGCAATATCGAGTTAATCTACACAATATACACATATACCAATAAGACAATAATCCATTGTAGTCTTCAACAAACATCAATCAATGAGAAGATTCAAACATACAATACCAAGTGAATTTATAGTCGTGATTGTTTGTTTCTTTTACTTATTTGTTTAAAATAGTAACCTGTCAATATTGACAACTATATTGATCAATTCCTTGATAACAACTATACACTATACATTGTTCAATATGGCTAGTTTGTTTATTATGTCATAAACTTCCTTATTAGTAAATTAGTGAGTAGTTAATAAAAGTAAATCACTTTTTATTTTGTTTATAAATGAAAAGAAAGAATCCATGTCATAATACCATCTGTTTATAATATTCTGGTAATTTATTGATGACACCCCCTTTCACTTTATCAAACTGAATATCATCTTTCAATGAAGTTTCCATTCTTATATTCAATTGATTATTCTATAGGTAAATGTGTGATGTTTGACAAGTATGTTTAACTTGACTAATAGAAGATATTTACCCCGAAACACTGTTTTATTAATAATTGTATTATTATTCTATTATACCTGTTAAATCTTAAAGGCGGAAACTTCTGTCTCTCTCCTCCCTACCCCTTCCTTTATGATTACTATTCATACATTTATTTAGTTACATTATTACTTTAGATCTTCTATAGTAAAACATCTGTCATATAATTATACACATGAAATTAGATGATGGTTGAAGGTAGTTGACAGGACAACCTGGAGTCGGATTTCGATATATTCACGGCATTGTTCTTCACTTTTTAAACAAATCCATAATAAGGTGTATATTGAATATCTACAATAGCTTAAACATTTCTATACACATAGACAACTTCATTTGTCTTTTTTTTTTCTTCTTTATTTGTCAAATCGAATCATTATGATACAATGTATAATGTTTCTTTATTTAAATTGTAATATAACTGAATAATGCTTTCTCTTGTAATTAACATATAGTGTATTTTCAAGACACCAATTCCTTTTATAGAATAATCATGATTAATTAATAAAAATTACGTAGTTGTTGTTGTCGAGGGTGGTGGTGGTGGTGGTGTTTTTCTTTTTCTTTTCTTTTTTGTGTTTTTTTTGTTTTGGTGTTGTTGTTGGTGGTGGTGGAGAAGAAGAAGAAGAAGAAGAGAATAGAAAAAAAAATGATAAATTGGAAAAGGCAACACACACAAAAAAAAAGATACATTTTTTCTTATTTAAAGATGGAATAAATTCCATTTTTTATAAGAAAAGAATCTAAGATAAATGTGTTACATTCTGTTTAAACCCTTCTATACTTTAATGGGTTTGTTTTGTTTTTGCTAATTAAAAGAAAAATGAAAAGAAAAGAGAAACCAGACCATTTTAAAAAGAACTACTTAGCATGAATATATTTCCTTTATAGAATATTCTCTTATAATAATGATATATGTATATTATTATCAAAAGGGGTTTTTATCGGAGAATTGGTAATTTCAATAGTTGAAATCATGAGTCAATTGAAACTAGACCACCATGAATAATGTGGAAGCACTGGACGGCCGTTTCGTCCTCGTATGGGACACTGTTGGATGCCGGCTCAGTGGTCTAGTTGGTTAAGTGCCTAACGCGAAACTAATAGGTCCTGGGTTGGAATCTCGCAGGGGGCGAGGTCGTCGATGAGCTCTGCTGAGCAGTCCCATAATAGGACGAAACGGCCGTCCAGTGCTTCCCGGTTTTCCATGCTGATCTAGCTTCAACTGACTCATGATCTTAATCATTGAAATTACTACAATCTCCACAAAATCTCCTTCTGGTAATAATCAACATATGCTCACTAGTGACTGGCTTCAACAGGTATATCCTGGAGTTCTAGTGAGAAGTAGTAACCAGTGGAGTTCAAACAGGTCTGTTGTGAGATACTAACTCACTGAAGACAATGGTGGGTGTGTCATTCAATTTCGTGGATTAGTTGAAGTTAGACATTAACACGGTTTGATGCCGGCCTGCTCAATGGTCTAATGGTTAAGTGCTTGCGCGCAAAACCAGTAGGTCCTGGGTTGGAATCTCGCAGGGGGCGAGGTCGTCGATGCGCTCTGCTGAGCAGTCCCATAATAGGACGAAACGGCCGTCCAGTGCTTGCAGATTTCCATGGTGGTCTAGCTTCAATTAATTCATGAATTCAATTATTAAATAAACTTTTACTTCTAAACTATAAAGAGAATAAGATACATTTACATAATTGAGTTTACGACGATGTATCAATATAAATCGACTAATGTTTACTTCAGAATATGTATATAATACAATTATGTTCAA